TAAGAATGTCCAACTAACATTTTAGCCCTGTTCCTTGGGGGGCTTAACCCTTTATTGGGACTTCCCCCGAGGTTCCCCTGGCTCCCAAAAGGATGTCCAAACTGAAAGCTTGGGCTTGTTCCCCTGGGGATGGGCCTTAGGTCAACAGGGGGAACATCCCCCAGGGGGTCTTGGACTGTGAATGGGTGCAGGCCACGCTGAGGGCCCCCCCCCCCCCCCCAGTGCACAAAAATTTGTGCACCGGGCCTCTAGTAAAAATATATTTTAACAAAAAAGAGAAAGAAAGAGGAAAGGAAAGGGAGATTTTGGAGGACCCTGACTGATACAAATTCCCTGAACTTAACTCCAATATCAGACATTTATGATACAGTAATAAATGATCTGAGTTGGCAGCGGAGACAGCTTCTTGGTCTGTTGGGGTCCAACCCCAGCAGGTCCAGGGGTTCCCAAAGGTGTGGACGGAGTCGGCGAAGAAGGAATGACACGGAGACAGCGTTCAGTTGATCAGCAGCCTAGCCAGGTTCTCTAGCCAGGTTCTGTGTTTATTGTCCTGTTACATCTGTACTTAAACCAGTTGATTTTAATCCTATCCATTCTATTCCAAAGGTTAGGGCATTTCTTCCCTGCAGCGACTGTGTCAAGCAGCTTCCGGCAATTTTTTTTTTTTTTAGCAGCTAAATAAGTCTCCAGGAGTTAAAAGTAATAATAAAGTGATTGATGAGGTTGAATAAATTAAGACATGGGTTATCCCTTCGCAGGCCGTCTTTGGAGTTTGACCAGCAACACTTTCATGGTCTTACTTCTCTCCACTCCCCCTCCTCCCCTCCCCTCATGTGGGGTCAGGATCCCAGTAAGGCCCCAGCGGCTCCTCCAGCTGTGGGGACCAAGAGGCAGAACTGGACTTGACGTGGTGCTCGGAACTGGGCCCGTGACAGCCTTGGGAGATGGTCCTGGTGCGGGGACGGGTGCTCGGGCTCCATCCTCGGGAATGTGGCCGGAAGGTGTACGGAGGAAGCCCCAGGCACCTTTCCAAATGCAGCCAAGAGGGGAGGGGATGGAGCAGGCGCCGGCCGCTGCTGTCCACCGGCCGCTGCCTCAGAGCTTCTTCAGGCGGCTGTACATCTTTCTCTTGCTCTTTTCCCCAGCCCAGGTCCGGCTCTTGGTACGAAACTTCTTCAAGTCTTCTTTAAAGTCCTCATGGTGCATGGGCCGGTAGCTGGGGGGCTCACAGTGAGACGGGCATTTGAGGAAGAACTCCTTGTACCCGCCCTTCAGGATGTACAGCTCAGGGTAGTGGAGGCTGGGGTACTCGTTGCTGAGCCGATCTCTCTCTCGCACGAAGCGGCACATGCGCGGGCCCCGCTCAGAGGAAAACTCGCAGTGGAACACCACGATGACGCGCTTGCCGTCGGCGGGGGAGATGGGCTTCTTGAACAGGAAGTCTTCCACCTCGTCCTCCATGTGCAGGTTCACCGCGCCCTTGATGTGGCCGCCCTCATATTCGTATGGGTACCGGCAGTCAATGATAACAAACTCTTCAATGAGGTTGGCAAACTTGCCATTCAAGACAGATGCCATGATTTCTGGAGAGATGTACTTTAGGTCCTGGTGCTGCCCAGCGACTGTGTGGAAGAGATAACCCTTGGAGAAGTCCCCTATGAGGTCTCCGGGGTCGTTGTCCGGAATATTCTCGATGGTCCCCTTTGCGGGGGATACCAAGGCTGGAGATGGATGCAGAATCTCCCGGGGCTTCTTGGGACTGGCCCTGAGCACGATCTTCCTCCGCTTCGTGCTTCCAGGTGGGGACAGCTCTCGAGATCGGTCCGGTCTCTTCAACACTGAGCGCAGGGCGGGGCTGCCCGGGGAAGTGGAGTCAAACAGCTGGCATCGGTTGCCCACGTTTGCAGTTGTTCTCATGACAAGGGGAGACGTCCAGAGGCTTGCCATGCGGGAGGAGGTCTCCTCATCATTCTTCAGATTCTCTCCATCGAGAAGGTCCATGAAGCCATCATCTTCATCAGAAAAAGTGGCAGTCACGGGTGACTGGGGCATGAAGAGTGGAACGAAGCTCTCTGGCTCGCTGCTCTCTCTTTTGTCGGAGGAAAGGTTTTCCTTAGTCTCCTCCTGGCCCATCAGCTGAAAGACATCACGGTCCAGGGGATCGGAATGGCTCCTCTTCAGAGCTGGACTACATCCCAAAAGCTTCGGAGGCAGGAAATGTATTCTCCTCATGGGATTTTCAAGGTTTCCTTTACCGACCAAGGGCCCAGGAGAATCCAGACAGACGCCTGAATCTGTTGACTCGGAGGAGCCCATTCTCTGGAGACTGTTGTTGTTTGCCTCGGGCGGCTGCTCACCCACACTGCCCAGGCCCTGCAGCTGGTCCATGGTGGCCGTCAGGGCGGTGACGGGCAACAGGCCCTCGGAGGCCGGCTCTCCGCCGAAGTGTGCCTTCAGGACGGGCGGCGACGCGGGCAGGGGGCTGCAGGCGAAGAGCAGGCGGCGGCGGCTGCGGCGCGGGGACTCAGGGCCCAGTTCCATGGCTGCGCCCGGCCAGTGCCCGCGGCTCAAACACAAACAGGACCAGCCACGGAGGACGCAGCGCAGAGGGGAGTCCGGCCCCAGCAGGCGCCACCCACAAGCGCAGGTGCTTCCCGCTCACCGCTCACCGGCCACCTGAAGGTCAAATCCAAACAAACGCGGTGGGTCAGGGAGGGAGAGTGGCTGCAGCTGAGAGGCCCCAGCCCGGGCTTAACTCAGGCCCTCGACTGCGCGGACCCGCAGTGATCAGCTGGCAACCTCCGCTCTCGTGGACTGTTCAGGCGCCAGATGTTGGGGTCCAACCCCAGCAGGTCCAGGGGTTCCGAAAAGTGTGGACAGAGTCAGCGAAGAAGGAATGACAGGCAGACAGCGTTCAGTTGATCAGCAGCCTAGCCAGGTTTTCCAGCCGGGTTCTGTGTGTTATTGTCCTGTTACATCTGTACTTATACCAGTTGATTTTAATCCTATCCATTCTATTCCAGAGGTTAGGGCCTTTCTTCTCTCCACCCCAAGGTTACTCTATTGTTCTATTAAGCTACAAGGGAGTAACTGAAATTATGTAGCTTAAGCCTGATTGTGCGTAAAGTGATTAATTACTCGCCTGGCACTTAGTTAAGGGGTTTTATTCCCTCCCTAACTCCTGGGAAAAATCCCCACCTGGGAAACAACCTTTCTCAGAGAGGTGACCTTGGTTAAAACAGCGCTAAGAAGGGGAGCAAACATATTAAGAACAGTATGCCATATACGCCAGGTCCCTTGAAACATGCTGTGCTGATGTTTCTTCCCTGCAGCGACTGTGTCAAGCAGCAAGGATGGACTGGCTTCCAGCATTGGTCATTAGACCTGTGCAACCACACAGGTACCACACACAGAAGACTCTAGGTCAGTGGTTCTCAACCTTCCTAATTCCACGACCCTTTAATACAGTTCCTCATGTTGTGGTGACCCCCAACCATAGAATTATTTTCGTTGCTACTTCATAACTGTAATTTTGCTACTGTTACGAATCATAATATAAATATCTGATATGCAGGATGTATTTTCATTGTTACATGTTGAACATAATTAAAGCATAGTGATTAATCACAAAAACAATATGTAATTATATATGTGTTTTCCGATGGTCTTAGGTGACCCCTGTGAAAGGGTTGTTCAACCCCCAAAGGGGTCGCGACCCACAGGTTGAGAACCGCTGCTCTAGGTTATATGACCTGCTGTCACCATCTTGAAAGTCTTGGTACTCAAACTTGTCTTTTGTAAGTGCAGTTCAATCATACAATGGAGCACATGTGTGAGCAAAAGGAGATACATGTAATATGCATGTTCACTGTTCCTTGCCACCCCATTCATCCTTAACATTTGAGATATCCTGCAACCAACTAATCCCAGTGGACACACAGTAGGTGGAAATTCAGTGAGACTCAGTAGAAGATAAGATTGCTACTTCTACAATTAAGTGAGTAGGGTGAAGGAAACCATTGACAGCCCTAAGAGGCCACAGTTAAAGTTCTGACCAAAACTTTCTTCAAACACAGAAAGAAGAGAGACAGTGACATTCGAACAAATACATATAACCAAGAAACACTATTATATTCTTTTTTATTCATATTACTTCCCTGTATAAGCCACTCACTTAGGCTTAAAATGATAAAGAAGGAAGAGAAATATCCAACAACACTTATTTCCTTTACTTTCAGTCCTTCCTTATTCATCAGTACCTTATTCATCAGTAAGCTGAAGGTAGAGAGTGTTGATAGGATGTTGTTCTTATTGAGAAATGAAATTTAAAATGTTCAGTTAGTTTTATGCATATTTTCCACTGTCTGGTAAGAATAAAATACACATGCATATACAAACTATGAAACATGAATTCTGTATTTTTAGTGATCTACATACAAGATAAATGCTCATATAAAACTGCATTGCACTATATATATATATATATATATATATATATATATATATATATATAACACTAACATGTAAAGTGTCCCCACAAAAGTTCAACCAGGAGACGAGGAGTTCTATCACTCGCTATGATATGCACTGACCACCAGGGGGCGGTGCAGAAAGAAGAAAGGCCCTGGCCGGCAGCTGACAGCCAGGGAAGGGAGGCCCTGACCAGCAGCCAGAAGGCCCGGATTGGGCCTGACTGCTGGCCAGGCCTAGGGACCCTGCCTGTGTACAAATTTTGTGCACCGGGCCTCTAGTATAGAGATAAATGGTGAAATTCACATTCAATAACAATTTACAATATTAATTTTCTTTACTTAGAATGACATTAAATAGCAATCAAATAGACAAGTTAGGAGACAGAGCATGCAAGTAAAGAAAAAACTTTATATTGTAGTACCTTTAACAGTACTTTTTCCCCCTACTTTTGAACAAGGGGCCCCACATTTTTATTTTCCACTATGTTTTGCAAATTATGTAACCAACTCTGATTAGCAACATGTCTTATGGAGTTTGAGGATAACTTCACAAAAGTTGAGTCTTAAGAGACTGTTGGAAATAGGGAAAAGTGAGTTGAGGGAAATAGAGAGGAGATTTGAGGCAGAGGGAAAAGGATGTAGTCTAGTTTCACAGTCTAAGGAACACGGCTCCCACAGGAAATTAGAAGCTGTTTGGTTTATCTGGATCTTGAGTTAGGTCAGCATGGTTGAAGGTTCTGGAAAGAGATGAATCTGAACAAAACAAGACAGACCAGATCATGAGGGTGCTGATGTACACTCAGCAGGTGATGGGAAACCAATGGAGAGTTTTAAATGAGCGAGTTGCAAGAGAAGATACATATAGAAAGATCTTCAGTACCAGCTTTGATTCTCAGGGTCTCATGCTATGAGTCCTACATGGTCTTTGACCATGGACTTTCCTTTCACCTAATGTTACAATGCTAGTTATCAAGCAGAGCACCATACACCAGTTACCAATTGCACTTTAAACACCTCTTAGTACCAAAGTTACCAAAGAAAATACAACATAGTCAAGCACTACATGGAACAGAGCTTTACTTACATAAAGAAGAGACAGACAACACAGAGGGACATGGAGAGTATTATGCTGAGAGAAATAAGCCAGTCAGAGAAGGATAAGTATCAAATGATCTCACTCATATGTGGAATCTAATGAACAAAATACACTGACAAATAAAATAGATTCAGAGGCATGGAAGCATGGAACAGACTGATGAATCTCAGAGGGAATGGGGGAGGGGAGGTGGGAAGAGATTAACCAAAGAACTTATATGCAAATATGGACACAGACAGTAGTGTGGTGAAGGCCTGGGGAGGGAGTGAGAGTAGGCATCAATGAGGGGGAATAAAGGGGGACATCTGTAATACTTTCAACAACAAAGATAATTTTATATATATATGGCTAATGTGCAAAGTGTCCCCTTGGGAGTTCGACTGGGAGACCGGGAGCTCAATCGCTCATTGCGATGTGTGCTGACCACCACGGGGCAGCACAGAATGAAGGAAGGCCCCGGCCAACAGTCAGAAAGCGCTGATCGCCGGCCAGGCCTAGAGACCCTACCCGTGTTCAAATTTCGTGTACTGGGCCTCTAGTAATAAATAAACTAAAAATAAATAAAAGACTTTAACAATTGTGCTACACATGCCAGGTCTTTCATAAACTGTATTTTAAAGGTATCACCTGTGAGATTCACCCATGGAGCCAGGTCTTTCAGCTTAGAAGAGCCAGTTATTAAATTTTCAGAAATTTTGCTAGCCAATTATTAGACATAGTCATTGTTAAATATTAAATATATAGTTTTACAATTAAATAAAATAATAGAAACATGGGTGATAATATTTTAAAAAGAAGAGACATAGTAAGATAAGCTTTAATGGTTTCCCATGGCCAGCGGGTCTCTCCCAGCAGCTGACACAGGGCCGTTTGCCTATGTGTACCCTTTTCTGCCTCAGCAGAAGGTACCCTATTTCCTCCTCACCTCTGTGAGGATATAACAGTGGGTTTGGCCAGGTGTCATGTGACGTACACACTTTAAGCAGAGACAAAAGTACTCATTGCGCCTGAAACAGGGAAAGGTATTCCCACACAAGGTGATAAGCCCAGCACAGGCTGTGTGGGCTCTTTATCTCTTGGTAAGACACAAGGCCCATTCTTGTGCAGCTGAATGGGAGTTGAATGACTACTAGCATTTGAGTACCTTTCCCAAAACAATTTATCCTTCAAAGTCCAGATCAAATGCCATCTCATCCTTGACTCCTTCAGAATCATTCTAAACAGTGCAAAGGCAATTCACTGGAGAAAGGATAGTCTTGCTAACAAATAGTACCAGAATTACTGGGTATGCAACAGATAAATTTTGATCCATACACAAAAATTAATTGAAATGGATCATAGACCTAAATATAAAACCTAAAACTAAAAATTCTAAAAGAAGACATAGGAGAAAATCTTTGTGATCTTGAATTAGGCAAAGATGTATTACATGTGATAGTGAAAACATAATCCATAAATGAAACAATTAATAAATTTGACTTTACTAAAATTAAAGATGTTCAACCACTGTTAAGAGAATGAAAACACAAGCCACAGACTGGGAAAAATATTTGCAAAAGATATATCTGATAAAGGACTGACATATCCAAGTATATAAAGTACTATAACAAATAAATAGCAAGAAAAGAAACAAACCAACTTTTTAAAAATGGGCAAGAGATTGGAATACCATACAATTTCAAGAAATTGTGTCAAATAAGCATATGAAAAGATGCTCAACATAATTATAATGTAAAATATAAAACTGAAAATAAAATCTCAATTACATACCACTACTTATCTTCTAGAATGGCTAAAACTTTAAAAATTGACTGTATAAAATGTTGGCAAGGATATGGAAGAACTAAAACTCTCATATATTTCAAGTAGGAATGTAAAATGCTACAACTACTTTGGAAGATAGTTTGGCAATTTTAAAAAATATATATTTTATTGATTTTTTTTACAGAGAGGAAGGAAGAGGGATAGAGAGT